CTGGGCTGGGGGATCCTGTGGGTCCCTTCCTACTTCCCAGCAGATTCTGTGATCTCAGGGGTGGTCAGCAGGGACTGGGCTTCTCTTAGCACTGCAGAGGTGCAGGCACAGGCAGAGTGGAGTTTGCTCAGCTCTTTTCCCAATAAAGAGCCACAGGTGGGTGGGTGTGCTCTGGGATCAGGGAGGTGGGAAGAGCAATGGGAAAGGAGCCACTGTTGGTTGCAGTGAGTGCAGCAGCAGTGGGGGTGAGTCCTGCCCTGCACACCCAGGCCAGGCAGGCCCTGACAGCCCCTCTGTCCCCTCTGTCCCCAGCTGCCATGCAGCAGATGCTGGCTGAGACCTACAAGAACAAACTCCTCCAAACGAGCTCCGAGTCTCGCCGGCAGGACCTCGTCAGCCAGGCCTGCTCCAGGTGCAGGGGGTGTCTGTGTGAAATCCCTTTCTTTCAGCAATGTCATTCCCATAAGTACACCAGGAACACAGCAGGACAGCTGTAACAGCCCAGGACAGTGCAAATTAAACTGTCAGACTGCCTTAAATGAACCACCTTCTAACCACCACAATTTGCATGTTAATCACACTTTGGGGGAACTGTCACTTTTTTGCACTGTTTATTTTGCCTTATACATTCTGCTAAATATGGAGGATGGAGTTAGACCAGTTGTATTCCTGTTTTCTGAGGTACTTCAGTGCCAAATTGTGGCCCAGAGCTGCTCCTCTCACCTCCCAGGCTGCCTCAGGGGTGCTGTGTGAGCATAAGCAGTACATCAGTGTTGTGAGTGTTGCTGAGCATCCTGGCTCACTGTTTACAACAAGATGAGAAATTTTAATCTGGCAACATCTGGCACTGACCAAAACCAGCCTTGTGAGCCTGGGACCTGCTCAGCAGGGCCACAGGAGCCTGTGGTGCAGGTTTGGTTTGGGTGTAGGGAAGGAGGTGTTAAATTTGTGGCCTTCAACTGTACAGTGCCACTTCCCCTGTTCAGTAAGAAATTCCTCCTCCTGCTTTTCCTCTGAGTCCCAGCCCCAGCTTTAGCCCCATGGCACATCCATCTCTTTGCAGCCTGGCTGAGATGGATCAGAAGTTCCAGCAGATCCTGGCTTGGCAGCAGCTGGATCAGAGCAAAGCTGTCAGTGAGATCTTGCAGCAGGTAGGCAAAGGAGCAAACTGCTCATGGGGATGGAGGAGAGCAGGATCCAGAGTGGGTCACAGGAGCAGCAGGGGCTGGGCTGGGCTGCATGCAGAAGTGATTTTATTTAACACTACATGCTAAAGTTTGAAAATATCTGCTATTCTGACAAACTAACTTGGGTGGTTGAAATAAAAATTATTTTTTGTCTAGCCAGCAAATTTGCAGAAAGGACAGAAGCACAACTGACATGGTGATTAAGAGGGGATTTTGAGACAGAAGTCCTGTCTTTTGGCAGGTTTCCTGTGGGACTTGGAACAAGCACTTTCAAAGTTTGTTCTCAGAAGTGCTGGGCAGCTGTGCCCTGCAGCACAGCCTGGCTGCTCAGTGCTGCTGAAAAGGAGAGCTGGGCTCACACAGAGCATTCCACATGAATGTTTGAATGACATTAATATTTCTCTGTGTGTCTCCAGGGTGGGCTTCACCTGTTGGGCTCTCAGCTGTGTTTCAGGACATTGTTGCTCAGAGCAAGCAGCACTCAGGGACTTGTACCTGAGTCTCTGCCAGGCAGCAGCTTCTGAGCCCATCAGCAGCTGCACAGCCACCTCACTAAGCAGGGTTTTGCCTGTCCCTCAGGTTGAGATGCAGAAAACTGCCTTTGAAGCTCTCCAGGTGAAGAAGGATCTTATGCACAGGCAGATCAGGAACCAGGTGAGTCAGCAGCAGAGGAAAGAGCAATCAGCCCCTCAGCTCATGCTGCTGTTTGCTGAGAGTCTGGGAGGAAGCACAAAGTGCTGTGAGCACAGAGCAGGGCCTGAGGACATGGAGAGCTCTGGACAGTGATGGTTGCACTCCAGCTCTGAGGGAGGCAGTGTCAAAGCAGGTTTTGGATTCTGGAGGTGGTGGCATTGCCACTCCTTCAGTCACCTGCACTGCTCTGGGGGTGACCTGCACTTGCACCTCAGATTTCCTTCAGGCTGTGTTCTTGGCAGGGCTGCTGCTTCCACATGAGCCCACTGCATCTCCATCCAGCACATCAGAGCTGCACCATGAGCCATCAGTTCACCTTTTCTTTCCCATTCTCAGCTCCATGCCTTTCTGCACTCCATTCCACAGGAGGTGCAGTGATGTTGGTGGGGGGAAGAGCAAGAGCTGGTGGAGAAAGTAGGGGTGGATGATGCAGGATGATGGAAAAGTGGCAGGGGATGATGCAGGATGATGGAAAAGTGGCAGGGGATGATGCAGGATGATGGAAAAGTGGCAGGGGATGATGCAGGATGGTGGAAAAGTGGCAGGGGATGATGCAGGATGGTGGGAAGGCAGCAGTGGTGGATGCAGGAAGGAGGGTTGCTGGTTTCTGACACAGTGCTCCAGAATCTTCCCTCTCCTGATTTGACACAGAAGAAAAGTTCAGGATTTTGTGGATAAACTTGAGAACTTGGATATTTTGAGTGCCCCAGTGACCAAACTCTGCTGGAAGCCTGTGCCCTGTCTGACAGCTCCCATCATTGCCTGCCTTCACCATAAGGGCCCTGCATTTTGCTCCCTCTTGCTCTGTGGACAAAGGGGGTTTGTTCCCTGATGCCAAGGCTGGACCTTTCACCCTTGGGACCCCTCCCACCCTGTGCTGCAGGGGCAGAGCCCTGGGGTCAGCAGGAGCAGCAGGCCTGGGGACAGTTGGTGGCCTGGCAGAGGGGTGAGCTGGGCTCTCCTCTTGGCTTTGCTGTGGGACCTTGGACCTTCATCTTGGGCTTTACTGTGGGACCCTGGACCTTCACCTCTCTGTGTCTCAGTTGTCCCACCTGAAAGAGCAGATGTTGTTCTGGGATTGCTGGAGCACCTGGAAAGCAGAGAACTGTCCCAGGAGTCTGAGCTGGGAGGGCCTTGGCTCTGCATTCCAGGGTGGCTGCCAAAGGTTTGGGTGCACAAACTGATTGCAGTGTGAGCTCCAGACCTGAGCAGAAGTGTTCAGAGTAGAGAGACAGCTGGAGTGGGGGGACACAGCTCCTCAGGTAAAAGAAGAGGCACCCTCAGCACACACATCCCCAAAGGGCACAAGCAGCACCTCTGGGTGCTCTGCAGTGCTGCCCTTGCCAGTCAGACCTCACTTAAAAAGAGCAGAAATCAAAGTCATTTTAAATGTCAGTAAAAAATGTTTCATCTTCTGTTTAGATTAAATTAATAGAAACAGAGTTACTGCAGCTGACACAGCTGGAGGTAAAGAGGCAAGAACTGGACACAGAGACACTGCAGGTACGTGGGGCTCTGGGGCTGCCCCCCACCCTCCCTGCTCTGGGATTGCTCCACCTGCTTCCCTTGCTCCTGGCACTTTCCAGATGGGTTTATGCTCAG